GTTATTTTTGGTAACTAGATAAAAACCCTTCCCTTGCTCCCAGTTGGGTTATTGAGACTCATGATTTCAGTTGATATGTTGGGATGTTTGTTGTTTTATGTTTATGTTAGTATTTTATTAGTTTTGTTGTGTTGTTTATATATTTAATTGTTTTTAGTTTAATTTAGCATAAGATTGTCTGGTGGTGTTAAATGAATATAATTGAGGACTTGGCTAAATCGGATTTAACTCCCAGTTATCAATTGTCGGTTTTACGGTCTATCATCAACGAAAGTTGGGTTATGATCAAAGACCAATTGTTTGATAATCTTTTATTTAACAAACGGTTTATGAATGAAAGTTTGGTTTATGAATGGAAGTTTGGTTTCAATTATGGAAATAGGTAAAAGTAAGAATCAGGGGAAATGTTTATCAATACTTAATGCTTCTAGTTAAGTCGGGTTTCACGGAAGTAGTCAACCGGCTTCGTTAGAATGGTTTTCTTCACCTTGGAAGAGGGATTTAAATATTTTTTAGAAAGATAAACCCTCACCTCACTACATTCATTTGACACCGCTACGTCCACCTTCTTGTTATGTCGTGGTTAATTCTTATGTTTTTAGTTGTTTAAATTCTCGTCCTTTTCTACCCATTTTCTTTAATTTATTGTTCGTAATTGTTAGTTATCCTCTCTTATCTAACAAAAGAAACTCAACATATTATGTCAATCTGCAAGTAATATCATATGAAGCATTATATGGATGAAAGTGTTTGACACCACTTTGTTCACACACGAAATTATAAAAAAGAGAAAATTAGATCTTGAACTCATCTAAGAAACACGCTTGAAAACAAATCAAAGCCATCAAAAGAGTTATAATAGAATTTCAATCAAGAAAGTATCTACTAAAGGTATCACCATTGAAAAGGATAATGTGATTTAGAAAGAGAGCAAATTTGTAGCATGAACTAATTGGTTCATTTGGGGTGCGTTTAGTGCACTGAACAAGATAAAACAGAACAAAATAAAAATCTTGTATCATGTTTGAGAGTATTTTTATGTGGAACAAACATAAATAAAATGGAACAAGTCTGTTCCGCCTCTATCCTATAGAACAAGGTGGAACAAACTTATATTTTACCAATATAACCTCAAAATAAAAACTCTTGGTCCTTGCCTTCGTACTTACTGTATAAGATTTTTGGTCTCTGTCCTATTTATCCAGTAAAGGTAATGTGACCCAATAAATGTTTGCTAAACGGCTTCTAAGTTACTTTTTTCGTTCACTTGCTTTTGAAAGTGCTTTTCAAATTGCGTTTTCATCACTATAGTTTACAATTTTTTTTTTCATCCCAATGCTTAATAGTAAACTATTATTCGAATCGGTCTCAAAAACGAAAACAACAATGAACAACTAACCAAATGAAGAAAATCATAATTTTCAAATCACAAGGACAAAAATCATAATTTACTTTAAAGGCATTTATGTATAGTGTTTTTCCATTTTTTTCATATTAGCAATCATTAATATTTTCATTTTATGGGAAAAACAATTTCAAAAAACCAAACCAAAACAACTAAACCAATATATCTCATTCAAAAATAGATATTTTTATAATAACCTACCATTTGGGAAAAAGTGAAAGCGAAAAGGTAAGAAGAAGAGCTAAGACTAGTAAATAGCAAACTTTTAAATGATATGAGGTATAACGTTTCATGGCGACGAAGTCAATCCTCAAGCCTTACATGTTGCAGCAAAGATCCGACATTTTCAAGGTGTGATATAAGACAGCAAATTTGTATGTCATATATATAATATAATTACATATATGCATGGGACGATAACCAAATGAGAACCATAAAAATGTTAAAAACCCATGAGAAACCGATATAAAAATTGTGTTTACATGATTTTTTCATTAAAAACTATAATTTAAAGTTTCACATATGTTTATATTCATTTTGGTACATGTGTACCAAACGCTTATCCGGGTAAGTACTTATCATATGTGTTAGGACTGAGAAATAAGTATTAATTGTATTCGTCTTGAAAGTTTATAAATAGTGTAATTGTAAAGTCAGCGTGTTTGACTTTTCTTATAGGTTTGACTTTGACTTTGTCTTTGTATGCTTGACCGTATAAATAGGTAGTTAATCTTTGTAATTAGAAGTAAGAGAGCTCAATTGTAATATTCATACGTGTAATGAGAGTTTGACCATATTGAATACATTGACTTTTTCTCTCAAAGTTCATCAAGTGTTCTTAATGATAAATCTATGAATCTGCCATTGATGTTATGAAGTATTGAAGAATTGATCAGTGAATTTGGACACACAATTGGTACCAGAGCAGGATGCAAGAAATCAGATTGAAGAAATCGAAGAGATAAGTTTTTTTTATTTCTGATTTTTTTTGTTCTTCGTGTTCTTGAGTTTTTCTTTGTTTTTGATCCGATTTTTCATAAAAATCTTGTGTTTTTGTGTTAAAAATATGATCAAAATGCTCGAAATTATATTGTGAATCTTTGTTATTCACAAACTTTTATGTTTTGATCAATTTTAATCAAGATTTAATCGGTTTTTGTATTTTCAATTTTTTTCGTGTTCTTGAATTTTTTTTAAAACCAGTGTTTTTGATCCATTTTTGTGTTAAATCTTTTAGTTGTTTTGTGTTTTTGATAGGTTTTGATCTGTTTTTCTTTCTGAGTTTGTTTTAAAATTGTTAAACCGTCCAAAGTTATAGGCCCAACAATGGTTAAGGCCCATTCTTTTTGTCCGGTTTAGATAAACAGTTCTAGTCTCCAATCTATCTTGAATTCTTGTTCTTGAATCGAAGGAGGAGCTAATTGTACCTAAGTTTTGATCGGATTTTTGAGCGGTTTAAGCTAAACCGCACATTATTCAAGCGGATTCGAGCTTCACAGATTGAGCGGTATCCTTTTAATTGAGCTTCACAGATTCGACTAAGTACAAACCGCACACCATTCAAGCGGTAATTGAGCGGAGAAAGGTTAAACCGCATGCTACTTGATCGGTATTTCAAGCGGTATTCATCTACACCGCACGAAGCTTGAGCGGAGAGGAGGTAAACCGGTCACTTCTTGACCGGATTAGTGTTCTAATTCGGTAAGTCATTTCCGGTTTAGAGTTTATATTTGAGTGATTTAGGGTTGATTTTTGAGCGGATTTTGATTTTACAGTGAGCGATTTATGTTCAACCATTGACCGGACTATTGAGTGGAATTGTGAACAAGTTAGGATTTAGTAATTTTGTTCATCGAAGTATCTTGTCCGGTTTATTAAATCGCACATCTTTTTGCTTAATATCATTGACCGCATAACCAATCGTTCAATTCATTTCATCATCTAGATTCTTACTTGCTCAACAGGTACTTGTTTATCTGTGTTTGTTTGTGTTTCAAGGTACTTGATTTGTACTCTGTGCAGTGATTTCTTGTGAAATTTTTGTGTGTATTTGAACAGGTCTTTATACAATGCAGAAGTGATCACAGAACTTTCTTGTCAAAAATTTTGTGTATCTTTTGAGTTTGTTTATAGTAATTGATCATCTGTTTGTCCACACAGATTTTACAATTTTGGAAATACCTTTGATGATGAATCAATTAACTGTTTTGCTGTTATAAGTAACAGCAGCCAGTTCTATAGCAGCAGATTTGAAACAACAGCAAATCTGAAACAGTTTCACAGCAACAGCAACCATTGCTGTTTAAAACCAGATTTAAGCTTTGTAAAAGAAAGCAGCTGGTTACAACAGCAGTTGATAGATGCAGACTTAAACAGAAGTGCAGCAAACAGAAGTGTGCAGGTTTGAGTAGTTAACAGCAGGTCTTGCTGTTGTGTATGGAAAGAAGACAGCAACAATCGGACATAGACATCAACCAGTTTTTGACAGTAGCTGTTCATAAACTCAAGTGCAGACTGGAATAGTAGCAGTTTGAACAGCACCAGATTGTTGTTTGCTAGTTTTTTTTAAGGCTGTCACTTTGCGTTAACAGGTCTCAGAACAGCAGCATTTTTCTGTTTTGACAACAAAGAACAGCAAGTCTTGTAAACAGCAGGTTTTTGTTTGAAACAGAATAGCAGCAGCAAGTACATTTCATTTTGACAGCAATTCTTTTGGCAGCAATTCTTGATAGCATATCGATTTTGCAGGTTCACAACTTCACAGCAGACTGCAGTAGTTCGGCAGATTAGACAGCAGGCTTTACATTCAAGGCATGGAAGGAGTTATGCAGTCAACCGAGACAGCAACAATAATAACATTGCAACCTTGATTGCTGGTTTGAGTTTGAGTTCTATTTTTGTAAAATAGTTTATGTGACAGGTTCTTAACAGAAGTATTAACAGTGTGCAGGTTAACAGTTTGAGTTGCAAGTCTTAACACAGTTACACAGTGTGCAGCAAAATTACTGTTTTGATAACAACTTAGCAGATTAATTGTGTGCAGCAGCCTGTGTTTAAAGAAAACTGTTGGATTACACTTTGTTTTAACAGATTAGGCTGGTTAGTCTGTTAAGGTGACAGATTGAGCAACAATTTTGAAAGCAACTCCACAATAGCAGTTTGGTAGCAGCAGGTAGTGTATAATTTGCAGTTGCCGTGAGTTAAGCAATAAGTGACTCACAACATTATAGCAAGTGCAGGAAGCAGTTTCACATATAGCAACTCAAGTGCGAGAGCAGCAACTGTGGACATTCTCAAGCTGCACCTTGAACTATTTTGAGCATATTTGTTTCCTTCCTTGTGCTGATCAATTGTGGATATCTGTATTGGTTGATTTGGGCTTGTATCTAGAATTCTTTGGACTTGGTTTATTGTTTTTAGACTGTTTTTTAGTTTCTTAGTTTGTCTGTGTTTAGATTTTTCTTTGGATCATTGTACATTTGTTTGTGCGTGTGTTTTTCAGTGTTTGTGTTTTTCTGTTCTTTTTGAGATTAACTGTTCGTATTTTTTTTATCTGATTTCACTGCATAGATCCTTAACTGATCATTTTTTAAAAATGGCAGATATTCTTTTGAAAGAGAATCAAGAATTGCGAGCAAAGTATGATGAGCTGGAAAAGAACTATAAACTTCAAAAGTATGTTAATGAGAAATGTAATGAATCTTTGCATCGAGGGTATAACGAAAAGATAGAAAGAATTGTAAAGGAATTTGAACATAAGATAGAAACGGTTGAAAACAATTGGAGTTTGGATCGGAAAAGTTATAATGATGAATTGGAAAAGTGGATCTCGTCTAATGCTAATTTGTCAACTAAACTTGAATTAGTTAAGACTGCACTAATTGCTGAAAGACATTCTCAAAGCAACAATTCAGATACAAAGGACTTAACTGACAAGTTTCACAAGACTGAGAATGARYTGACTGAGTTTAGAAGATTATTTGAATTAGAGAAGGAAAAGGTTTTAAAGACTGAAAAGTTTTTAAAAGATGAAAGGAATGAGATGGAGATAGAAAAGAAGAGGATAATCGAAGTTGAAAGAAAGTTTGGAGCTGAACGAGAATCTTACGAGAAG